TATATACATAGAGAACATGAAACAATGGGTGTTACCATACACGCTGTAAGGAGGGGGGGGACGACGAGGAGGACACCGACACCTTTTGTAGTGATAATCAAGGTGGGCCATTTCCAGCAATTGACAAGAATGTCTGAGGAACAGTGGGGGGTGGGGGGAATAAACATGGATAAATAGTTTTACTTTGTGTAATGATCCATCCACTCCCAGTCTTTATTCAAGCCTAAGTTAATTGTATCCAGTTTGCAAATTAATTCCAATTCAGCAGTCTCTCGTTGGAGTCTGTTTTTGAAGTTTATTTTCCACTGTATTTTCCACTGAATGCATCCGATGAAGTGAGCTGTAGCTCACGAAAGCTTATGCTCAAATAAATTTGTTAGTCTCTCAGGTGCCACAAGTCCTCCTTTTGTTTTTGCAATAGGAGTGTGTTCACAGCCTTTTACACCAGTCCGAATCAGTTAATAAGACACCATATATTAAGTTGCAGCCACTCAGAATACAGAAAAATCCTAAATACCCAGGCTATTGTCAGATTAACACATTTAACCAGAATTCAAATGATAAAAAGGCTAGATTTACTTGGCTTAAAAGTGATCATCCTTTTTAGTGGCAACTACTTAATTTTCCATTGGTTTTCCAGTCTAGATCCCAATTTTTGAAGAAAACAAAACATCAAAACTGTGAAAGAATGTTACAGTTAAAACTTAAGAAGACACTGTGAAATTGATTAGGCAATAAAACTGTCATACCACAAAAGTACTGTACACAAAAATCCAGCTGTGCACATCTTATTTATGTTAAGAACTACTAGAGGCAGGGTTCAATTTCAAATTAACTTCTCACTGTTGCAACTACTGATTTAAAAACTTAATTACATCTTAGAGCCCACACACGACAACATTAGACTCAGAAATTTTCTAAAGACAGATAAGTGAATCTATCATTAAATGTAAGGCTAGTCATTTCCAAAAATTCAGCTCATCCATTTCCCTGACAGGCAATAAAGATTAATTTCTTTACACTAAAATTCAAGTCACTCACAATTAACAATGATGCCCCGTCATCTGTAATGTTTTCCCCACTACTCTTTCTTAGTATCTGGGAAGAATGTGTCAATGCTATCATTTCAAACATGAAATGTTAGTCTTTTCACATTTTTAAAATTAGAAAGACAAGATTACTTACAGCATCAGGGTGTTTTAATAATCTGCTCTTATGCACTAAATCCCCAATCCAGGAGAGTACTAAACATATGAGTATCCTATTAAAGTCAGTTGCAGTCAATTGGATTACTTGTGTGCTTACAGTTAAGTGTGTGCATAAGTGCTTTGCTGGATCGGTCCCTAAATAATGGGGCAAGTAAGAGAGAAAACTGAAAAACTGAGTTTTGTCAAATCTAATTCTGCAAAACTCCAGTCAGCATTATGTATTTATCTGTATATACAGAGCCCATCTCTAAGTATCTGAGCACTAGAGAAAACTTAAAAACCAGCAATAACTAAAATACATTTGGGACCAGTGGATCAGAAAGAAACAGCTATTCTACAAAACATGTAGAAAGAAAAAATAACAACACACCAATAATGCAAAGAATTGCTGAACATTGGGTCTTCAAGCCTGATGAGTAAGTAATGCATCTATACCGAAGGTCATGAAATAGCAACAGAGGCAATTCACTTCAAAGCTTCCATTAGTAATTACTCTGGCTGGGATTTCAAAACACATTGGAAGCTGTGTCCTTTCTGGTTAATGTCTGTAAAAGTGACCCCATATACTGCCTACTGAGTCCCTATAGATCAGTTCTTTTGGGTCATTTTTAAACAGTGTTTTGTCATATTTGTTCACTGTGGGCTATTGCTATATCTGGCCTACAACTGCCATACATACCACACGTCTGTACGTCTCACTGTACAACCGAGCTCTGCTCCTCATTAGGGCCTCCAGTTGCTAGTGCACTACAAATAAATAATCCTGATCCCATCAAAGTTAATAGCAAAACTTCTTCAATGGCAGCATGATCAGACATTATGGTTCTAGCAGTTTCAAGACTGGCCATCTGTCCTTTTTCTGATGTACCACTGTATGAAACAACACTGTTCCCATATCCTCCACGTTCAAATTCAAAAATAGCAAGCACTTACATAGGGATTATCCAAGGAGCCAAAGGGAGTTAGGCATCCAACTAATTGAATTTAATGGGAGTTGGGAACCAAGTATTTGAAAATCCCAGCCTTAACGTTTATCTGTCTTGATGTTTACGTTCCACTCAAATATTAGGATTCCATTTTTTTGTGTTTTTTCACTCAGTCCTGAGGACAGCATGTATTCCCCTCCATACCTGCAGAGAAAGGTTTGCAAGTCTGGCGATGATACAGGAATATTTTCATGGAAAAATAAAGGGATTTAAATCCAGTTTTAAGCAAAATAATGGAGAACACAGAAGACTCTGGTGAGCTTGTGAAACTTATGGGAGTTCACTCACACCTTGGTTTCAGAAAAGGTGTTCGCAAATTATCTATGTAGTTGCTGTCAGTACTGTACAAGTTGTAACAGGGAGCCAGCACTTTTCATTTGAGAGCACTGTAATAATTTGTGGCTTGTGTCCTAACAGCAGATTATGAGGAATAAAATACTTGTGGTTGGAATTTGTATATCATCACATCTGCATGTTGTGCAAACTGATAGAATATAATTGGCTTAGCATACAACTGACTTACTCATCCACACTCCAAGCCACCTCCAGGATGTAAGCAAACTTTACAATCTCAAAAGCCTACCACATTCAAGGCAGTGCTGGAAAAGTGACAGTTTGTCTTGATATCTTAAATCAAAGGGAGGGAATGTGAAACTGAAAGCTGTATATGTTTTGGGAATAGGAGGGAAGGGTGAATTTGATGCTCATGAAAACGGAGGCCAGCTAGCATTACACAGGGTTCCACATTGAATAGGTAGGTGCATTGGAAGCTTCCCCACACATATAATAAAGCTTGCACCTAGTAGCTTCACCACTAAGCCTCAACCCTGACCTGCAGTTTCAGTCCCGTTCTGGCCCTCAAGCTCTCCTCAGCAGAGGCTATGAATTGTGCCAAGTTGTTCAACACTTCTGACACGAGTAACCCTTTAATAAGCAGTACTGATACTATAAATCTGGCATAAACCTGCCATTTAAGGCACATTTGAACCCTGCCTACTCGTGTTTAAATTCTGACAGATTAAACCAAGAGGAAAGTCCATGAGTTTATTCCAAAATTGAATGACCCATGATGTCAGTAAATAAAGGCAGAGTTTAACACTGTAAAAATCAGATGCATCTCATTCATAGCGAGAATGTGATTGCACTGATTACTTGTTCTCTGCAGTAACGTAAAGCAAATAACTACTGAAGTTTCTCATTCTTCATCTGAGTACATCTTCTAACTTAATTTTCTATACATACTAATGCTGTAAATATATTCATTGAGATTCATAACTTGAGCACTAGCCATACAACTCACAAGCGTTACTGAAAGATGTATGTCTAAAAACACTTTTCAAATTCAGATTATACCCTTTGTCAAGAATTCCAGATCACTTGTCAAAAAAGCCTCACAAGAGCCCACACTTTCTTTCATTAATAACCACTGCAGAGGTTAAACATTTTTCAGTTTTAACCCTTATTTTTAAGGTAGCACCTCCTTTAATGAAGTTTGACATTTTAATTACATGCACACTATACATCACCCCAAATCAGTCAATTGCTATAAAACACTGATCTTCCCAATTTAAATTAGACACTGTAGAATCAGACATAATATTTATGAGAACCAGTTAATGTATTTAGATGAGAAACAAGATCCGAAAGAAATTGTTCAAAGGCGTATTAATATTTTTATTACAGAATGAACAATTTTTTTAAAGAATACTGAATGTTGGAAATGAAGAGAAAAAATGTACTTGGTTGTTGTATTATAATATGTTAATCCTCTAGAAATGGCCAGTAGGAGGATCTTACACTTGCAGAACAGAAATGTTGCCGGGGGAAAATGAAAACACATTAAAAAAAAAAGTCTACAGTAGCAATAATAATCTGGCTTCAGAAAGTTACTGGCCATTAGCTTTGCACTCCTAACCAGTCACTAATGAAATATATTTGTAGCCTCAAATATTAATCACCCATATTAGGTATCAAAGGGAACTCAAATATCCCCATATATTGGTGTCTATCATAAATTAAAACAAAAAATATATATAATTTAAAAACAAGGTTTTCCCTTTCCTCTGTTTCTTTGACAGATTCCTGTGACAATTCACCTTCTATTTGTGAGCATTTAGGAGACCCTAACAACATATTTACGTAACAAAAAATAAGAATTGTATAACACACAGTACACACACATTATGAATATATAGATGCATACATCACATGTGCAGATAGACAGTACCTCTTTACCTACCTGCTTCATACCTCTTCCAAAACACTTGTTTATGGGAAGTTCTTCTTGAATGATACATGAAAATATACAGACTAACTAAAATGTGTGGCTCCCAAATCTGAAGTGGTGGTATGCAAGTGGGTTCTTCTAAGCAGTTTTGCTAAAATTCCTTCCATCTCCCTGTCCCACCCTGTGCTGGATGCTGTCAGCTGGAGGATGCATGGGCAACTTATAGAGTCCAATGGATATAATTCTCATTAAATAGAACAGACTGGCGCAACTACCTTTAACACAAAAGTGCATCCCAAGGAAACTATAGGTCCAGCATGCAGTGCTTCCCCATGATCCCAGCTACTATGCCAGAATGCTGAAATTGAGCGAGCACTGCATTCTGGAACCTGTAGGCTCCCTGGGCTGTATATCCGTATTAAAGATTAGGGTGGTTCCTCATATTTTGTGCAGCCAGCAGGTTGCATTCTGGCCATTTGTAAGATTTCTCAGTGCTGTTGACATGAGAAAAGCTATTAAAAGGCCATTTTTCCATGAGCAGGATTTGGTGAATGTTCCCTCCATGGAATTAATACTCACCTGGTGGTTTCATGTAATAATTCTCAATATCAGACATGTCCGTATGCAGCGCGCACTCGAGATAGCTGAGGATAACTTTTCTACTGAAGTAGTACCTCATACCCATCAGAAAGATGGGCAAACAGCAGGTCAGCAGCAAGGACTTGGTCACAACAAAGCATATTACTATGGAGATAAGGAAGAGAAATAAACGATACCTGTCAGAAAAGAGAATTTAGTGTTGATTTCGGAATAGAAACCCATTTAAAAAAAAATCAGACATAACATACATTTGTACAATATAAACAAAAGCTAATCAATTTACATTTTCACAATAACGTATTTTAGATTAATAGCACATTTTTCATTTAAAAACAGCCTGTAAAAAGTTTTATTTAAGACTCCCAATTCACAAGTTACTTTAAAAAATTCAACTATAATAATTATATCACATTTGATGAAGGATTTTGCAGTGTGTTTCTGTAAAAGCTCCCATCCAACTTGCCACAGTTGAAAAATCCTGCAAATATCATTGCGTCACACAAATATCAAAGACAGATGGTGTCTCTATTAAGATATGTCTGCGATTGCTGCTCAGACAAGATTTGACTGCATCACCAGTCCCTGCAGAGAAATCAAAGCACTAAAACCAAGATGTCCACATGTGACTTTCCATTTCTACAGCACTACAGGGGACAAAGCACAACTGTGACTAAGGAAGATATTTTGAGCACACCACCCAGTAGCTGTGTGCTTATTAATTAATTATTTTGGTCACTGGAAGTTATACAGGTTTTCCAGAAGGTCCCTAAGGGCCAGTCATCCCAAAACCTTACACTAGCCTGCTTCAGTATCAGGAAGCAACGTAATGCAGGCCTACCGAAAATAAAACAGCAGACAGCACTGAGATGGCTGCTGGCCCCATCATCACTTACCACTTTGAAAGCTGTGAATCTTAAGCAAGGATGTTTTTAGATCAATCACATAGGCACACAGAGAGAGGCGGGCATAGACTTCATTGTTCTCAGGTGCATTTAGTATCTTACCAATAATTACAAAGTTACCTGACATTCTTTATCATTCCCTTCTCTCTCCCTGGCCCAAAAGGTGAAGGAACCAGCCGTCTTGCCGCATGCAAAGGGCAAGGGCATGAGAGAGAAAAAGGGTCCACATGGTGTTTTCTTTGGGGGGGCTTTTGCATTGACGGCAACTGGCATTATCTTGCAGAGGTAATTTTTTTTCAGCTATTAAACCCTATCAAGGAGCAAGTAAATATCGGAACAATCTAGTTTCCTCTCGGCTGCCAGCTGGCCAAGGCAGGGATCCCGCCTTAGTCTACGTTTTATGGAGCTTTGTAACTTGCATCAACCCCGAAGATGCAATGTTTAATAAACTCATAAGGCACGCGGCTTTGAATTAATACTAAACCGGCAGCTCTCTGCAATACGCGCTGGTTACAAACAACGTCTCGCCCCTCGACCCCGCTGAGGTCAGGGCCCCGCGCGGCTGCATGCCGCAGGGCGACCCCAGCCGCCGCCTCTGCAGCCAGGAGGTGGCGCGAGACCTCCCGGGTCCAGCGTCCCGCAGCGGCGGCGTCTCGCGCCCGAGCCCGGCGGTCTCTAGGTAACGCTGGAACCCGGCTGCAGCCGCTGCCCCGCCCAGGTGCCGAGAGAGCGGGGAAAGCTGCGGGCGGAGAGCGGCGGCGGCGCCGCTCCCATTCATCGCTTCACCTCCCCCCGCCCCAGCGGAGCGCAGCATCCCGGCCTGGAATAACTGGAAAGGCGAGTCTGTCTGCGCCGCGCAGGGACTCGCCGCCGCCGCCTCCGCCTCCCGCACAGGCGGCAGCAGCTCCCAGCCCCGCTCCGGCCAGGCTGCGCCGGGCGCACCGGCCCCGGGCAGCAAACCCCCGCAGGCTTGCAGAGAGGAGCACCCGCCGCCCCGCCCCGCCCCACACTTCTCCTCCGCCCGCCAGTGCAGGGAGACGCACACAATACACACCCCTGCACCCCCTTCCCCAACGAGCTGCAGGGACCCCCCGCCTCCCCTTGCGCGCGCGCACACAGGCAGAAGCAGAGCTCGCAAGTCCCTGCCCCCGACACCCAGTCCGGGGATACCTCTCCTAGACACCCAGAGCCACCGGAGCCGGCCGCGCGCCCCGCTCCCTCTAGAGGGAAGCCCCTTGGACACGCAGCCCCTCAGACCTGCAGAGAACATCCGCCCCCAACTTATCTCCCCGGAGGACGCTCCCCACCCCTAGCCAGTAGCCACGCGCACCCCATGTGCAAGCAGGGAACCCCCACCCACACGTTGCTCGCAGGCTGGCTGCTGCCCGCATGCGGAGTGCAGGCTGAGTGCATCGATCGGTGTTGCACACTCCGCTCTGCAGTGATCTCCAAAGCGGGGCTCACGGTCCAGTGCTTCGTTCCTGCTCCTCGCAGTCGCCCGAGGTAGAGATCCGCTGTTTGCAATATTGCGACTTTTTAACTGGCCTGACTTTTGCACCATGACAGGATAAGATGCTGAGGCTGCGGCTGTTCTTTCCCTCCAGCACCAGCAGCTCTGAGACAGCAATTCTGCACCAAATATTAATAGGATCGATGCAGGGATGGGTTCTCCATCCTTCAACACAGATCTTATTACCATTCTTCCTTTTTATTACAATTGCTGAACAAGTGTGCCCCCTAAAAAAAAGTGAATATACTTACTAGCGAGTATCCCATAGAGCAACTGAATGAGGGGGTGGTGTTTTAACCCTCTAAATGCGGTGTTAGGAATCCTTTCCATGATTCCTTCATAAAATATACGGCGCACCACCTCTTGCTCGGAAGGATGAAATTCTCGTATATAAACGTTGTCTTTCTTGAAATCCTCTTCCACACCACTCAGAGAAGCTGCGGAGGAGGAAGGTGAGCCAGATAAGGAGGGCCACATCTGGGAGGAAGACACAATGATCGCATCTTTTTTGGATCCTGAAATTGATTCATGATCTTCCGCCACAATCTTAGTCTCACAAACCATTTTGGGAGACGAACAATGCATGCAAACTGGCCGAGAAACAAAAAGGAGCCCGGCTTTAAATAAGAAACAAAACACGCCAAGCAGTAACTGAGAGGAGCAGCTTTTATGAGTGCGAAACAAACGGAGCTGCGTGGAAAGCGAGAAAGGAGGGCCAGTGCATTTTGGAGAAGTATTTATAATGCAGCAGAGCCGGTGCAATTCGGAATCAGGGGGTCCCTCAGGGTCCTAGCGTCCTTTGTATTGGCTGGCAGGGGTCACCATGTGATCTCCAGGAGTGGGGAGGAGAAACACCTCCTTTGCCTTGCGTTTTATTGCTCATTACTACAGCATGCATTTCATTTCCTCTTCTTTTAACTATCCAAGCCCTGCTGGGGTATACAGATACTACGCAAATCTGTCAGAGGTGGGCCTGTCTCCTTGGAGAGGAGGGGAGTATGATTGACTTTGTTTAGCAAGGGCTCTGACTGAGGTTCAGGTTGACACGTTGCAGAGTTCGCAGCATAAAATGTCTGGCATTTAGGTAATCTAGAATTCTTCTTGAAAACTACCTGCTCCTTAAAAGACTACCAATTCCTCTTTGTTTCAGTAAAATCTATGTAGGAAAAACATGCGCAGATTGTTCTAGAAATAGTGACTATCTAAAATCTATCTCTCTGTATATACATGCTTGCATACATTTACATGGCTGTATGTATATAGATTCTTGTGTATACATGCGCATATATAGCCAGTTATCTAGAACATCTGTCTAAAAATCCACTGATATATACCTATATAGTCATTATTCTGCAGCATGGAATCTCATTAATGGTCTCAAGAAAGTGGAAAACGTGAGGTTGATTTGGCACCAAATCGTAGTGATTCGAATTTGGTCTCAAAGTATGTATAGTTTATAATGCACGAAGTGCGGCATGTATTTATTAATAAGGCCTTATATCAAAAGCGATAGGGGTGACAAACTAATGACAACTTTGAATTTTCGTTAGAGAACATTCTGGTTTCAAAATGCATTTGCTTACTTTTTAAAAATGTAACTAACACCTGGCTAAGTTCCTGCTGGAGGCCACATTCAGCTGGGGGGGGGTTCGCTTTTCTTGAGTGGGAGAGCAAGTCACTCACCACTGCGGATAGTTTCCGGGGATTAATTCTTTCTTCCCTCCCTTCGTGCATATAAAAGCAGCACTCTCCACCCCCAGTCCCTATTTCTAAAAATACACCGCTCAGCTCCACAGAAGTAAACAGCGATCTCGAACCCACGTGAACAACATTCAAAGGGATTTTGGTGTGGCAAACAGTAGGGGATTGCTTTCCTCGCGCGATTCTTCCCCCCCTTACAAGAAAACAATCAAAAGAAACATATTCAGTTGTCATCAAATAACACACACACACACACACAAGCTTAGGTCGCGCTGAACTTTTTCTCCAGCAGGAATCCCGTGCCCGGCACTACGCCGCTGCATTGTTTTCCGCCGGGCGCCAATAAAGGTGAGTAACGTGCCCCAGCCCCCGGGGCGCACTCCGCCAGCAGGCTCCGGCGCGCCACTCCCACGATGAAGCGCCCTCGCGCCTCGGACTGCCAGGGCAGCGCGTTTTGCTCCTCGGGCGACTAGACGCAGGGTGTGGGGGGGTCTCCCTGCCCGGGACAACCCTGCGCCCGTTACTCGGGCTGTGCATTGGCCGGAGCCTCCCCTCGAGGCTTCCTGGAGAATTAGGGCTCGGCAAAGCCATTCAAACGGGCGGACCCGCCAACTCCAGCAACCCACAAGGAGCTGGGGCTGGAGGAGGGGCGCGGACCCGCAGGAGGAGGAGGAGGAGGGAGGAGGAGGACTCTCGTCTCCGCAGCGCCCAACAGCTCAGTCTATCCCGGTTTCAACCGGCCGGGACAGCATCGCTGGTCTCCCCCCACTCCTCCAGCTCCCTCCTCCGCTTGAAGCATGCGCCTTGCAGCTTCAGTGCAGGTAGCGGCTTAGCCACTGGCTTGCGCGCAGCGCGGCTTGGCGAGGAGGCGCGTGGGGAAAGGGCTGGCGACAGCGCTTCCCAGCTTCATTAATGCGGGCGGCGAAGAAAGGAGCAATCGCCCGCCTCTCCCACTGGAGCCCAGGCTGCTGGCATGAGCTGCCTTCTCCCCAGGCTGCCGGTTCCCGCTGGGTTTTACTGCAAGAGGCTGGAGCACCAGGCGCTGGCTACAAACAGTGGTGCAGGGGTTGGACCCAGAGAGATTTGAAATTTAAGTGCCTGCGAGTGGAGCTGCTCTTCCGTTAACAGCCATGAGATCAAACAATAGGAATAATGCCTGGCAATAAAGGAAATGTTTGTGGTTTGATAACTCTTGAATTATAATCGCCCTGTGTTTATACTGCTGAGAATTTACTAGGCAACAAGACAAGCACAGCGGCTGTTCAGTGTATTGATGAGATCAGTAACTGGTGAAAAGCTAGGAAACAAAGGTAGGAATAAAATGGTCAGTTTTCACAGTGGGGCCAGGTAAATAGCAGGGTCACCCAGGGAACTGTACTGGGGCCAGTGCAGTTCAACATATTTATAACTAAGCTGGAAAATGGGGTCAACAGTGAGGTGGCGAAGTTGGTAGATGATACAAAATTACCCCATGGTAGGTAAGTGCAAAGCTGACTGCAAAGAGTTGCAAAGGGATCTCACAAAACTGGGTGACTGAGCACCAAAATGATTGATGAAATTCAGTGTAGATTAGTGCAAAGTAATGGACACTGGAAAACATAATCCCAACTATACATATAAAATGATGAGGACTAAGTTAGCTGTTACCATTCAAGAAAGAGATCTTGGAGTCATCGTGGATAGCTCTCTGTGAAAACCTCTGGTTAATGTGCAGCAGCAGTCTAAAAAGCTAGCAGAACATTAGGAACGGGCTAGATAATAAAACATAAAATATGGTAAAGTCACTATTTAAATCCATGGTACGTCCACACCTGGAATACTGTGTACAGTTCTGGTTGTCCCATCTCAAAAAAGATATATTAGAATTGGCAAAAATGATGAAGGGGATGGAACAACTTCCAGATGAGGAGAGATTAAAAAGACTGGGACTTTTTCAGGTCGGAAAAGAGATGGCTAAGGTGGGCTATGAGGGAGGTCTGTAGAATCAAGAATGATGTGGAGAAAGTGAGTAAGGAAGTGTTATTTACCCCTTGACCTAACACAAGAACCACAGGTCACCAAATAAAATTAAGAGGCAGCAGGTTTAAAACAAACATAAGGAAGTACTTCTTCACACAACGCACAGTCCACCTGGAGAACTCATTGCTAGGGATTGTTGTGAAGGTCAAAATTGTTACTGGGTTCAAAAAAAGAGCTAGATAAGTTCATGGAGGATAGGTCCACGAATGGCTGTTAGCCAGGTTGGTCAGGGACACAACCCCATGTTCTAGGTGTCCCTATACTTCTGACTGCCGGAAACTGGGACTGGATGATGGGGTGGAGCACTCGATAATTACCCTGCTCTGTTCATTGTCTCTGAATTATCTGGCACTTGCCACTGTCAGAGGACAGGATGCTGGGCTAGATGGACCACTGGTCTGACCCACTATTGCCATTCTTATTTTCTAAAATCTAAAGGCAAACACTGAGCTGAAGTATTCTTCTTTTTAATTTACAGCCCTTTAGGTCTTGTCCAGACAGGAAGGTTAATCTGCAGCTTTTTGCTGCATCAGGTAATACACTTTATGCAAGCCGCAGTAATAAGGTGCACACAGGATGGTGTGCCCTGTCAATGTGCATCTTTGTGTACGCATGGCAATTGTTTGCTGCTGACTATGGGCATGGTATTCTTGGAGAGTATCCTGTTCCTAATGTTCTGTTAGTTTTTTTGACTGCCTGCTGCTGCATGTTAAGCGGATGTCTTCAGAGAACTATCCACGATAACTCCAAGATCTCTTTCTTGAGTGGTAACAGCTAATATAGACCCTGAAAACTACAGACCTCAGGCAAGATCTTTATGTCTTTGAAGTATATTTTAAACAATATTTAATTTTCATCTAGCTAGGCTATGTAGAAGTCAGAGGTCCATATATTTTTGTTTGACCTCTTCTAGTCAGACATTTCACTTTCCTGAGACAACTAGCAGTGTGCACCTGTTGTTTAATAATTAGCCAAGATACATAAAAATCAGTAGTAAGAACCCATCCCGTTCCTTTTTAAGAAGAATAATGTCCTGGATGTATTGTAATCACTGAAGCTTCCTCCCTCCCATCCAGCCCAGGACTCCCCTATTTTACCTGTCTGAGGGCTTGTGTACATATAGAATTACTTCCTGATTAACTCTATGTGTGGACATCCTTATTCCAGAATAGGAGTTAATAGAGTTAATCAGGAATAATTCCATGTGTATGCAAGCCTTTAGCACTTACCCAGATACTACAGTGATGAGACCAATGTATCTCACAAACACTGATTAATGTATTCTCTCAACACTCCTGCAGGTACTACTACCCTCATTTTACAGACAGGGAACAGGGGCACAGAGATATTAAATGACTTGCCCATGGTCACACAATGAGTCTGTGACAAAAGCAGGCATTGAACCAGATCTCTTGAATCTTGGTACTGGCGTAACCACTGGCATAACCACAAAACTGTTCTTTCTCCTTTATTTTAAACCTAGATTTTCAGATTTCACTAGAAACTGGAGGACACTAGAAGCTCTAACTCTGTTGCTGAGCTGTGGAAAATAAAGGGAGGAATTAGTGAAAGAGCAGTCAACCGTGACTGACTGAAGCAAATGTCAATGAAAAGTCAGGGCCCAATCCTGCTCTCATCGTGCAAAACTCCAATTGACTTTAAAGGGAGCCAATTTGGGCCCTAAGAAAAGAAGGGAAATTGTTAAATGTTTGGCAAGCCAACTGCTTTGCCAGGGGCGTTGAGTATTTTAGAATGCAGTTGTCATCCCAAGTCACTAAGCATTTTCCTCTTCATTTACTTCTGCTTCTCCAGAACCTAAGGGTGTATCTAACCAGATGGCATGACCTTCCCATGAACCTGATGGATCTAGCTAATTTAATTAAGATGGACATTCTTTTTAGAGTCCTGAATTTTATTCAGCTGCTGTCAGCCCTTCTCCCTGTTTGGTATAAGAAGACAATTTTTATGGATGTTTGATGCATTCCTGCGGAAAGGCAAAATCCCCAGAATCAGTTTGAGTAAACTACACATGGTTGAGAACTGGAGAGATCTGAATATTCTACACAAGAAACTTTACAGTTGGGTGGCCCTATTTGTGACTGACTCCACTTAGAAGAATTAGAGACTAAATGTATCAAGCTGGTAAGCACTGGAAGTGCTTCAGATTTGATCTGTGGTAATGGGGAGTCACTTGCCATAACACTTTGCAGAGCATAAGAATAAAAGAATGACCATACTGGGTCGGACCAAAGGTCCATCTAGCCCAGTCCATTTAGCCAAGCTACCAACAGTGGCCAATGCCAGATGCTTCAGAGGGAATGAACAAAAGAGGTAATCATCAAGTGAACCATGCCCTGTCGCCCATTCCCAGCTTCTGGCAAACAAGGTAGGGACACCATCCCTGCAACCCAATCATAAGAGAAACTCCAAAGGCATGGTACTTGATCACAAAATCTTTCTATCCCATCCCAGAGAAATGCACTACATGCATACTCTGTGAAACTTTTAGGTGTCAAAGATGGGAGTCAAAGGGACTGAGCCAGATCAAATCTTTTCTTCTAACCCAGACTACTGCAACCTTTAAACAAATGAAACTTCCTCTGCTAGAAAAGGGCTTTTATATGTTCTTCCTTAAGGAGAGGTATACTCCAGGGTAGGTCCCCTTTCAACCA